CCCAGGCAGCACCCCGGACCAATTACATCAGAATCTCTGGGGATGGAACCCAAGCATTAGTATTTATTAGAGCTACCCATAATATTCCAACATCCAGCCTAGGTTAAGAACCACCACTTTAAAAAAAAGAGATTGTGCATATAATATTTCTATGTGACTTACTACCAGGAATTATAATAATAGAGGTCATCATTTTTCTATTAGCCTTGTATTTCAGTAGCAAAATAACTACAGCAAGAGGAAAAAGGAAGGAAATAAGGATAGACAAGGAATCTTTGCAAATTGAATCATTTTTATGGTGAATATAATATTGTAGAGAGACACATGTAAAAGGTAAGCAAAATGTTGGGGCAGCAGTCTATAGCAGAGGAGCAATTCAAAGGGAGAGTCTGATTAGGAGGATGGAAAACATCAGTCTAAGCTCATGGAAACAAGAGAAATTGAGGTAATACATTCAAGAGAAATTGGACAAATCAGCCAGACACTGGAAAGAGAGCCACAAAGAAGAGAAAGGGCAGAACTGGGGAAAGTGAGAGGACCCAAGCACATCATAGAAAAACTACAAGTAGGGTTGCAGTCAGTAGGCATGTGCATGTGCTAGTTCTGGTTGCTCAGGCAACAGAGGCCCTTTCCTCATGTTAATGGCAGTATAATGAGGAAAGCCACATGCAGATGTAGTAAAGAATAATTAGAGGTGAAGTCACACCTGGTCCAGGGAGCGTCTTCCTTTGGGGAATGCTAAGTAGGAATTTGGGTGAGATTTATGTGAGAGGTTGTGAAGGTGTAAAGGGGAAAAATTTGATTTTTGTGTGAAAGCAGGAAGCTGAACCTTCTGTAGAGTGTCTGGTAATGGGGTATGAACCATGTGTCTACTTCTCCATATTGTTTCCTGATGCACTGTGTAAGTTCACCTGGGGATGGGGAAATCCAGACATCTGGGGCTTGGTTGGCTTTTCATTCAGGTAGCAGAAACACGCTGATTTTAGATGCAAGAGGGAAAATTACAATCTACAAAGATCACCCTGGCCTTCTTAAGATACGTATTTTTTTTTTTTTAACTCAGTTGTCCTGCTTCCCAAATTATGGGAAAAATTCTAATTTTGTGTTTAACATTTGAACATTTAAAACTATTGTTTAATATTGTGAAACGACTATCTCTACAAATTGTCTTTGGTATTTGAAGCCATTTTCCAGTATTTTTTTGTGTATTATACAATAAATTTATGAGATATGTTACTTTTTAAGCGGTTTCTTTATCAGTGATTGAAGCAGAAGACAAAATGTTTAAAATCTTAGAGGAATGTTTCAGAAACTTGAATGTGCATAAGAATCACCTGGAAATATTATTAAATTTCAAATTCCGCTGGTCTGAGGTGCAACCTGCCATTCTGCATTTCTAAGTAGCCCCCAGGTAATGCTGTTGCTGCTGATCAAGGACCTCACTTTGAGTTGCAAGATTTTAATTGATTATGGTAGTTACTAGAATCTATAAATGGTAATTTGATAGTTAAATATTAATCAAACATAATATTTTTGTTTTATGAACTTTTTTCATTTGTGGAAACAATTTTTGTCTGATTTATTTTCCTTTTATAAATTATACAAGTAACTTTTTTTTAAATTCAAAAATTATAGAAATATATAGAGTAAAAGTAAAAGTCCATCTTTATTCTTCATTAAAACCTTTTCTCTTTTCTAATTTCTCTTCTCTGTGGATAATATTTTGGTACAATAAACATACATATAAATATGCACAAATACACACATATGAAAATAACTGAGAGTAGTATAATGAATACTTTGGTATTTATAGAGAACTTTTACAATGCATTTAGAAGTGGATACACACATGTGCACACATCCATGCATATAAAATAGAAAAGAGGATCACATTATGTGCAATTTTTTTCCATGTGCTTTTAAAAAACTTCAAATTGACATTTTTTCATGTCCATGTTTATTTAATTTTGTGACTGCATACTATTCCATTCTATTGATTAAGGTTATTTCCATTGGTCACTTTTTAAAATAACAATCATTTTTACATGTATTTTTGCACATATGTGAGTATTTTAGTAGGCTAATGGCTAAGTTAAAGTTAATTTTTAATTTGACTAGCAATGCCAAATTGATTTCCAACATTGTGGAGTAGGAAGCTATTTTCCTACTTCCTCATGGAACATTGAATATCAGAACTCTTTTAAAATTTTTGTAAACTTTATAAATGTTTGTTGTTATTTTTAAATTGCATTTCCCCAATGTGAGTTTGAACATTTTTTCATACATTTACTCACCATTTTTTCTTTTGAAAATTGCTTATAGACCCTATTCCCATTTTTACTTTTATTGAGTTGTTTGTTTTTAATATTGATTGGTGGGAACTTTGTATGTGATGGATGTCAATCTTTTGTCCAATATTTGTATACACACATGTATATTTTTGCCAGAGGCAGCATAGCATGCTGGTAAGTAAGTGAGGAGCATTGGCTCTGAGTTTGCATCTTGGTTTCACCACTTGGCAGCTATGCGATCTTTGACAGGCTATTTAACTTCCCTGTATTTCAGTTTCCTCAACTGTGTAAAGTGTAAATGGAATAATAATGGTATGTACCACATATTTAAATACCATTTATTTATTCCTTTTCTACTCACATGAATGCTATCTTTATTATAATATTTCTGGCTGTTCTTATGCACTTACTCTTAGAGATAGCATTTTGAATCAACTGGAATAGCTTCATTTAAAATTACCCTTAGAGTTTTAATAGGGATAATGCTGAATAGATAGATTAAGAAAAAATTTAAAACTTATAAATGTGAGACTTCCCATTTCAAGCCATGTTACTCACTTTCTTATGTTTAGGTTTATTTTTCTGACCTTAAATATGACTTTTTAGTAACTTTAAGGTTTTGTGGGGAAACGGGTATTATGCTTTTGTTGTATTTTGAATGGTATCTTTTTGTTGATGGCTCATTGTTGCTATATTGAAATGATGGTTTTTGTATGTTTTGTTATTCCTAGACATCTTGCAAATCTATTTCTTTAATGTGTTTTTATTTCATTATTTTAAATTTTAATGTGAAAGGATTTATTTTTTTCTAGTATTTATCAATGTTTTGGTCTCTTTTTATAGGACCCTCAGGAGTATTTTGAATAATGGGGATTTGTGGAATTATTGCCTTGCCTGTGATTTTAATGAGAATAAGTAACATTTTATCACTGGTTTGACAGTTTTCTTGAAGGCAATCTGTCAAACTTAGGAAATGTCCTCTTTTTCCCAACTCCCTGAGAGTTTTTAATTTTTTAGACAGCGGTGGCTAATATAGTCTGTCAAATACTTTTCCAACGACTGTTGAGATAGTATATGTTCAGCTCATTTATTCTGTTAATCCAGTGCTTTAAGCATGCATGCATTTCCTATTACTACAACATTCTTGCATTCCTAAAGTAAACCTTCCTTGATCGTCATGCATTGTTAATACTTTAAGATGTTGTTACAATAAATTTGAAAATATTTTATTCATTATTTTTATTTGCATCGAGCTTAATGTTTATTCTCTTTACTGGTGCTCTCTTTATTGGGCATAATATTAGCATTTGTCAAGCCACATGTAATTATTTAGGAAGGTTTTCATCTTTTTAGTGTTCTGGAATAGATTATAAATGTCAAAGGGATTATTTATTCATTAAAATTTTTATAGAAATCCCTACCCATAAACCAGTAAGACTTGCTGTCAAATCAGGGAATATGGGGATGCAAAGACTAGATCTTTGATTTTCATCTCAAGTTCTTCAATAATGTTGATTTTCTAAGCTGGGCATGGTGGCTCATGCCTGTAATCCCAGCACTTTGAGGGGCCAAGGCCAGCGGATCACCTAAGGTCAGGAGTTTGAGACCAGCCTGGCTAACATGGCAAAACCCCATCTCTACTAAAAATACAAAAAAGTTAGCCAGGCATGGTGGCAGGCACCTGTAGTTCCAGCTCCTTGGGAGGCTGAGGCACAAAAATTGCTTGAACCCGGGTGGCGGAGGTTACAGTGAGCCGAGATCATGCCACTGCACTCCAGCCTGGGAGACAGAGTGAGACTCTGTCTCAAAATAATAATAATAATAATAATGTTGATTTTCTAATTTGAAGTATATTGAAAGTCAATAAGCAAACATTCAAAACACTCGTATGACTCTCTTGAATCTTTATTATTTAAATAGTTTTCTATTGTACTTGAAAAGATTCGAGGTATATCCCTCTGTGTCCAAAAGGTCAGTATAATATTATGTACACATTATCTTCATAGCACAACTATTTGGAATAAGCTTTTCTTCAGAGATGTATTGGCATAAAGGAGCTCTGATTTGTTTAAATATTTTAAAAGGTATTAAAATATCTTTTCGTTTGAGAACCTCCCCTATATACTCAGGAAAGCTCACCTTTTCAAAACCTGAGTGTTAACTATTTCCAAACATTCTGTAATGTTTATCAAAAACAAAAAATAATGAATACAGATGAACATTATTTTGGAGAGCCCCATTGTCTTCATCTACTCAGATCATCCACAATCACTGGTGAGGAGGCAGAATTTTGTCACTGGGACAGCAGTCACTTGACCCAGAATCCTCTACAGATTCCCTCCAGGGAGCCCTTCCCATTGGCTCTTTCCTAATCATTTCATGTTTTTTAGTTTCCTCAGTAAACCCTTGGTCTTAGCAAGAGTCTTTATTCCCCTATTATAATTATCACCCTAACTACAGGCAACAAAAGAAAAATAATCTGCCACTTATATCAGTCAACTATTGCTGCTATAATGCTACGTTATAGATTCACCCACAAATTTGGTGGTTAAAATAGTAAGCATCTGCTCTCATGCTTAGGTTCTCGAGTTGACTGCTATTGACTCATTTAGAATACGCTTGATTGGGCAGCTCTATTTCTGTACTTATGTTCCAAGACTGAAGCTCTTGGCTATGATGGGTTCAAGTTCGCTCCACGTTTCTTTCCAGGGCCTAGGCTAAAGGAGAAGACATAGCAGCCCATGGGACATGTTCGTTTCATGGATGATCACGATTGCTAAGAAGATAAGCCAACATACAGGTTATGCTATGGCTGCTAACAACTTCTTTTCCAAAGTAAGTTAGATGGCCAAATCTAGAATCAACGGTGGGGCAGTTCACTCAGTACACTAGACAGAGGTATGCATTTATAACTTAATTAAGAGGAAATGAAGAATTGGGGTGAATTTTAAAAATCTATGATACCACTGAGAGTATTTCCTTTCTAGTTTCTCTCTGCTCTGCCATGCTTCCAACCCTGGTGAAATCCACTGCGTTTAAGACCCATTTTCATATTTTGTCACCCAACTTTTCTATCAGAAAGCACTCATCTTTGAGTGGCTCCGTCTTAGTTATGAATCAGAACAATGACTAGTAAGAGAAAATTTAAAAATACCCATCAGTCCCCATGTGGTCTTCACAGAAACAGAGCCAAACTGTTGTTATTTAACCTAGTTCAGTGAGGTTCTTGGTTTATAGGTGAAAGCAATAAACATGTTGATTTCTTTTCTTTCCTCATTTGTTCTTCAGCAACAGCAAAGGGGATTTTCATTAAAGGGATCCAATTCCAGTTTAAAGATTTGGTCTGCAAAGTTTAACAAATAGTCTCAGTTTCAGAGTTCATTTTAACTGCCTCTAACCTTTTACTAATTAACTTATCTTCTTTCCTTCTAGATGCCAGAAGAAGGCTGTTGCTATTGTTTTTCTCCGTGCTTAAGGATTTTTGTCCTTTGCAAAATAATCTCAGAGTGTATCATAGAAGCAACTGATGCCCCAATCTATGCCCCTCAGCCAAATGTGTGGATTCATTGCAGTTGCGCGACACATCCGTGTCTTTCTACCTCAACCATCCATGCCTCTCTGCCTGTGGGGCTTTCTTGGCACTAGAGGAGTTTGCTCTGCCTGTATGCAGGGCAGCCTAGAAGTGTAATGGGTTTAATTTCCCCAGCAGCAATTTTCAACCAGTGAGAAACTGGAACTGGTGCAAAAACAGTCCAGCTTCCCTATCCCTCTTTGGGCCACACTCCCAGAAAGCTTGAGATAGCAGTAACCTGCTCCCTTGTGCACACCTTTCATTGGCTGTCTTCCCTTTTCTACTTCACTCCTCACTCCCTTGTTGCACTTCCTGGGATCACCTCTCAAACTACCTGGGGCATTGTGACAAGCATCTGTAGTCCCAGCTACACAGGAGGTTGAGGTGAGAGGATCACTTGAACCCAGGAGTTCTAGTCCAGCCTGGGCAACATAGCAAGACTCCTGTCTCTTAAAAAATAAAATAAAATACATGTATCTACATCCTTTTCTCAGGATTGGCTTTTGGAGGAGCCTAAAGTAAGACTGTAAGCAGGAAACGCTGAGAGCTCTCCCTAAAATGCACAAAACTCAGAGAAGCTAAAGCAATAAAGCAACTTAATTTATGTGTAGATAAAAAGCAACTTAATTTATGTGTCTCAGAGATGGCATTGTTCTGTCAGAGCTGGCAAGTTAAAAAGCAGCCAAATACAAAAAATGTGCACAGAAGAAAAAGAAAAACACTCATCCAGGTGTTGGTCTGTGTTTAAAGCACAGAGAGGTGCAGTTTGGTCTTAGGCTTCTTCTGTACCCTGGTACATTAGTCTGTTCTCACTCTGCTATGAGGACATACCCGAGACTGAGTAATTTATAAAGTAAAGAGGTTTAGTTGGCTCACAGTTCAGCATGGCTGGGTAGGCCTCAGGAAACTTACGATCATGACAGAAGGGGAAGCAAACATGTCCTTCTTCACATGCCAGCAGCAAGGAGAAGTGCCATGCAAAATGGGGAAAAGCCTGTTATAAAACCATCAGATCTCGTGAGAACTCACTATCATAAGAACAGCATGAGGGTAACCACCCCCATGAATAAATTGCCTCCCACCAGTTCCCAGCTCCAACACATGGGAATTACAATTCAGATTACAATTCAAAATGAGAATCTGCGTGGGAACACAGCCAAACTATATCAACTGGCTTCTTCCACTCCCTAACTAGTATTACCAGATCTTTTCTCTCTATGGGTGCCCCTTTCTCTGACTATTGCCCAAAAGGGATGAATATGGTCCTTTGCTCATTATTTCAAGAACAATAGATTTGCATGAGACTCATGTGCTTCTGAGAGTTGATGTTGAACCACTCTTGTGTTGTAGCTCACATCCTCTTGGCCACATTTTTACAGCAACCAGCTTTGTGATAGTGTCACCGCCAGCACCTTGCATCAGTTGCAGCACTTATCTCTTGCTTCTCTGTTACCATCTGTTAAGATGCCTTCTGCAAACTACTCAGCCATTCTGAAGCAGGTGCAACCTTTGAAGTCCAAGATTGTGAACACCTTCTGGGCCAACATGACCAATGGTAGAAGAGAGCCAATGGATCATCCTTCCTCTCATTTGTCCTTCTGGTGGACAATTTTGAAGTGTATTCTGTGTAGTTTCTCAGAGTGTCCCCTGGAGAACTGTGTCTCATTTGCTCACAGCATTGTTCAGATTAACACATCTTCGTGGTTTTACTTTTTCCTGCATGTACACACTTGTGTCCAACCCAACTTTCTGGGGAACACTATGCTGCTTGGGTCCACATTTCCCTGTTTCTCCCTTCCTAGTGGCTCCTCACACACCCCTGGACCAATTGTTCTGACATCAACATGGTCTCCATCCTTAATGGTCTCCACCCTTAAAATGTAAAGTTTTAAAAATGAGAGTCTTGCTGCTGACTCACTGCTCTGAAGGTATTAACCATGTGTAAAATTTTGAACAAATGTTTATAACTCTAACTTGTTGAATACTTGTTGACATACTTGTTGAATTTGTTAAATTTTAAAAAACTTCCTGATTATACTTGTTAAAATTTTGAGAACTCTAATTCTTCCTCAAAATTGGTCCTTCATTCATTTTCACTTCTCTTTGGAATGTACAGTATTTACAACTATGGCTACAGATTTTTTTGGGGGGTGGTTATTGATTCAGAAAAAAATGCTTATTAATATGTCACTTGGGCAGGCACTATTAAGAATACAGAGTGACTAAAATGCAGTTGCTAAAATTTAAGGATAATCTAATGATGAAATAGGAAAAGCTTTACAAATAACCAGAGCAAGTGAAATACAGAGTATGATCAGCATAATGAATAAAGTGTTGACATAATACATAATACATGAAGTCCTAATACATAATGTTATGGTGACAAGAGAAGCCCATCTGGTCAGAAGCATAGACTGCACACTGTTTTTCGGTTGGCTCATGAAGGATGCTCCTCTTGGTCTGTGCTGAGACTAGCAAAGGCAATTGGCGAGTTGTTTTTTTTTTTTCCACAATGACAAAATGTTTGTATTTGGTTGGCTAAGACATTTTGAAGAAACATTTTTCAATTTAATTGTTAAGAACATTTTGATGGCTCTCAACATCTCAAGCTCCAAGGATATTTCAACAAGTTTCAGTGCTATGTCATCAAACAGCATGTTTCTCCTTTCCAAGGTTGAGCTTTTAAGAGTTATGGGGTCTATTTTTCCTGAGGTCATGAAGTCCTAATACATGCACTTTTGAAGCATGATGACTCTTCATGCCTCCTGGGTATTTCTGCTTCTTTATGAGAATTTCATTGTTATTCATGTGTGGATGACAGTTTGAATGACCTAGAAAGAACAAAACATAAAAGTAATGATTACATAATTCATGCCTTCTCTAATTAACTATGTTTTATTTTCTAAGAGCTGCAGATGTTATATTACTCATAAAAGTCTGTTCATATATTATTTATGCCACACGAATAAAATGTTTGTTAGCTTGAAACACTTAAGCAAATTCTCTGGGTTTCTTTAAATTAAAAAAGCAGGTATGAGGGTATACTAACCTTGTGTCTTTTGATTTTCTGTATTCTGAAGGCTTGACATCCAGGGCCTTGCTCCTGCCTCACAGGATTCACTGATTTCTAGAGATAGTAAGTCAACAACTCTCCTGCTAGCAAACCTTTCAAACGCAAACCAACCAATTCAGAGCCCAATCACTTCCTTATCAGGTCCTTCTCATACACCAGTCTCTCCACCTGCCCAAATCTCCCCAGGTACCAGACAAGGAAGGATGAGCCCTGTGCTCAATATTATTTTTACAAGATAAGCCCATACACATTTCACAATAAGTCTAAGAAGAACATGGGAAGAACAAATATCAAGCTCTGAACAGTGGTGACCTCAAGGGCAGAGTATTAGAGAACAGATTTTTAAGTTCTCCCTTTCATAGGATTTTTTTTTTTAATGTGAGAATATAACACATTTTTATTTTTATATTTTTTCACTATTTTCAAATTTTTAAAAATATAAAGAGAACTGGTGAAATTAGTTTACTTAAGCACATACTTCATAGCTTTGTAAATATTTTTATATCCTCCAAAGTTTCAGTCTCCTTTCTAAAATAAAATGAATACAATTAAATGAAATTTTCTCCTTGTAATTACGCCTGTAAGACTGATAAAAGGTATGAATTTGGTGGGCAGGAGGAGCGTGCGAATTATGGTACCAAGTTGGGAAGAAGGAAGAACACAGAATTCTATCCTATTTTTTCATTTTAAATTAATGCCATTTGGAAGGGGAGGGGGACAATCACATTGAGGGAAGAGACACCCTACTGTGTTTTCTTTGATTTGAGGTGCATAAATTGTAAGTAAATAAATACTGTCTTAAAAGTTTTTTATGACACTCTTTTGAAAGACATATTTGAGAGTTCTATATATTGTCTTTCTCCCCTGAGCCCCACCTGTCCCTCCAGGGATCTTTGACATTTAAGGTTTTAGGAAACAAGGCACTTGAAAATGAGAAACTAAGAATACTGAGCCAGGATCAAGATGCAAATAATTTAGTGAGAGCCTTAAACAAAATTAGGAAGTGACCAAAATGAAGAAAATAGAATGAAAAAATGACCAAACTCAGTCAAACATTTGGATATATTTTTAGTGTTTATTTTCAAGGATTCAAGTGGTATTATCTTTTAACCCTGCAACTTCTCGCTGTGGCTGCATGTGGAGATTACATCTGGAATAGGATGAGGCCTGCTATAAATGTGAGGCCTGAACCCTGCCCCTCACCCTCCCCATGGCAGGCACTGATGGACAGACCTCACTAACTCCTCCATCACTGAGAAACACAGAGTGGAAGCTGTGAGTCCACTGTACTATGCATGTGCTTAGAAAATGTCCAGTATTCATTTCCATATTTCTTATGATAATGAGGCAAATTTTATCTCACTTTCATGAAGTAATAAATTTAAAATGAAATTAAATGAAATAAAACGTTCTTATCTGTTGGGGAAGCTATGAGCAAAACCCAAGAGAAACTGTTGCACCTTTCTTATGTGAGGTCAAAGCAGTGCAGTGAGGAAGCGATGAATGTATAAAGTATTTTCACGTTTTAAAACACTCGTCTATGCTGTGTAAGTGTCTCTAGCTTAGTGTCTCCTAAATTGACATGCACCTGATAAATGACTATTGATTGAAAAGATAAATGAACAAATACATGATGCAATTTTGGGGAGGAGGGGACCATCTTGTAAGCCATCCAAGAGGACTGAAAATTTATGTTGAAGTAGGTTATTCAAATATTAGTTTAAGTACTATGTACTTGTAGGGAATTCCTTATTCCTACTGGTTATCAAAGACAGCCGCACTAGTTATCATGACAGACAAACAGATCAGCATGGCGATGGTACGATTCTTTCTTTTGGCAATATTAAATGCTTCTGTGTCTCTCACTACTTATTGGGAACCCAAATGTGGTCATATATATCCATGTTGTAGATAAAATGAGGGATGACCGTGCTATTTGAAACTGGCTTCCTTCAGCTGTGATCGTATAGTGGTTAGTAGTCTGCATTGTGAAACTGACGTTCTTCAAACTTAATGGGAAAATCTAATTACCACTCATAATAGAACCCTTACAAAGATATTAACCTTGATGCTTTGATCTAAAAATATTTAAGTATTTAATTTTTAATGCAATTCTCTTAACATTTAAAAATAATCTAGAACATGCTAGGTGTTACAGATTTCTAAAACAATGAAACATGGCCCTGACCTTGTGAAGCTTGGGGTTTAGTAGGGGAGTCAGGGCTATATATACTATCACAATACAAAATAATGCTATACTTAGGAGTGTCAACAAAACAATATTAACTCATAGAGGTGGTGATGATATAGGAGTTAAGAAAAAATTATTTAGGCAGATAGTGAGGGTATGGAAATCCTTGGTAAAGTTTTCCTTTTAATGAAAACTAGCCCCCAAATCATTTTCTTTTCTAACAAAGAGCAGCCTGTAAAATCGAGCTGCAGACATAGACAAGCAAGCTGGAAACTTGCACAAGTGAATGCCAGTAGTTGTGCCAAGAAGAAAAGTCTACCTGGGACTAGGCATGTTCAAA